TGTCATTATATTATTTTACGTATTGCCTGTGTATGATTACGTTATAGTATATTGATGTATTGTATTGTTGATGCATCATTTTTCCTTTGTGTCGGTATTATTTTAGTATAATTTCATTTTTGCTATCATTGTGTTATTAATAAGTTGGTTTATTTTATTTTATTGGAGTATTAACGAACTTTATTTATGCATGGTATATTTTAGTATTTTTAATTTAATAGTATTTGTATTTTTTTTCGTTGCCCCTCCAGACGTAGATATTATTTTTTATTGTAGAATTATATCTCTTTGTATTATCAGTTATTTACTTACATCTGTAAGCCTCGTGGAATACTTCGTGGGACACAAGGAGTTTCGTATTTGTTTTCTTAATTAAAAAAAAGTATATTAAATGAAATGTAAGCATATGTGTCCAATTAATTTTTACGCTGGAGAAACGAATCGCTAGTAAAGGAATAGGCTTATTTGTGATAGGTAATTAATTTATCCTGACTTATGCTGCTGAATAATGCAGTTGTTGCTATTTTGAATTTAGTTAAAAGCGTTGAAATAATTTAAGTTAAAAGCGTTGGAATTTGCATTTAGTCAAATGAGTCTTTTTATAAAGTCTCTTTTTAATCTCTTCGTCGTCCGTAACGCGTCTGGCGTGTTCAAGTGAAACTTCTGCAGGGCGGCCGTAACGCGCTACAAGCGTTCTTCCACATTTTAAAATTTGTAACGTTTAAAACGCTTTCTAAATGTTTACTTCTTTGAGATTTTATTTTTATCTGTTCTAATACCTTCTAGAGGTCAGCACTAATCATTCATGCTATTTCTAATTGAGTTTGCCCCGCGTTTTATGAATATTTGCGCCATTTTACATAAAATACAAGACAGTGAGAAATAGCTTCAACGTCTACTCAGCAGAAAAAGAGAAAAAATGAGGTTGTGAATTGGAAAGACAAGAAGGATATACGTTTGATTAGTACAGTTCATAAGAACACGATGACTGGTGTTGGAACACGGAAAAGAACTGTAAAAAAAGCAATAATTGTAAAAGATTATTAGACAAACAAAATGGGAGGAGTGGACCGCCTGGAACAGATGTTGTCAAATTATCCTGATGTTAGAATTAAGCAAAGATGTTATTTCTTCATTATGCTTTATTTCCTTATAATTTTACTTAATATTCATTGACATTCATCCACTACGAAAGTTATGTATGGAAAGTTATGATGTACAGAGAAAACAACATTACACGCTACGAAAAACAGACGGCCGCTGGGGAGAAATTTTTGCGGACAGGAGGAGACGACGAAAGGGTTAAAGTCAGTTAGTCAAAAAAACTCTCAAACTCTATATGTAGAGTTTTTTTTTTTTTTTTTTTTTTTTTTTTTTTATTTTTTTTTGACTAACAAACTCTATATTTAGAGTTTGAGAGTTTGATAAAATAAAAAAAAAATAAAAAAAAAAACTATGAATTCCACATTAAAAATGTTACTAACAGACTGAATCATCTGTAGGCAAATGATGTTTAAATAATACTTACCAAACATTTTAACCGAAAGAAATGATTTTACTCTGCCTTTCGCAGTATCGAACTGAGTTCTCAATGGATTATCTGAAGGAATTTCATTCGCTTTTGTGTTATTGCTATAGTCTTTTAAACATAATACCTTTTGAGTATTCCCCTTTGAATTCAGTTTTCAAAGGGACATTAAGTTTTCAAAGATAAATATTCCTTAATTCTTTATTTGTTGTACAGTTTTGATGTGGTATTTCATAGTTTAAACTCTCTTTCTTGATGTATTTAAATTAGAATTTCTTTCTTGATGTTTTGAAGTCTATCAGTTAATTTCATTGCGAGATTTTTTTTTGTATTTTTATGTTGAACTCCTTAAGATTTTTACAATCTTGTTTTCATACTTTTTAGACTGTGTTATTGTTATTTAAAAACTGACTTTTAAGTCAGTTTTTAAATAACAATTTTAAACAACAGTTTAAGGAATTTATCAAAAGCTTTAGCTTTAAATAGATGTGCGTCTCAAGTCTAAATTTATTATATTTTATTTTTCTTGCGTGGAAAAAATTTTGTTCCATAAGTTGTTTAACATTTTGTTTATAACAGTTCAAATTCAGTTTAATTGTGATTGTTATAGGTTAAGTCTTCAAAGACCATCCGATTTTGCATATAAAACTGTTCTAATAAGGGGAGCTAAAATTAGACTGATCCAGATTCTAGCTCTTATGCACAATATATTAGGACCAGTATCATAATCAATAATGATCATGAAATTATGCGAAGTTAAAATATTTCTTAATAATTGAAGGCGAAAATTTGTCTCTATCGATTTTTGCAAAAGGTAATTTGTTTTAAATTCCGTGGCGGTTAAAACACTCCTAGAAAATTCAGAATTAAGCATATCCAAAACATTTCAAATGAATTCAGCTGGAAAAAAGAGCAATTTGTAATTAAAGAAGAATAAAGTATCTTGACAATGGAATATCTCTTTGAACGAATATTTTCAAAAATCACATTTCTCAAACGTTACCGCTGTCTTTCTAAGCTTATTGTCAGAATGCTCTTTAAAGTAACTGGAAAGTGAATAGCTACATTATTTTTACAATGCATTTCTAGAATTAAAGTAGTTTCGGCTCTAAGTTCATCTGTGCGTAAATAACTGTATTGTCTCTGTTTATGTTTTATTCATATAACTTTGAGATTCATACTTAGACTAAGGCCAAAATTTATTTTCACTTTAAAAAATGCTTCCCGTTTGACATTTGGCTTCATTAAAAATTAAATTTGAAATAATTTGAAAGCTATTTGACTTCGACTTCTAGATTTCAAGTAAATGCTGATCATTAACTTTCTGGCAACCAGTATTCATTTAAAGAATAACTTTTGAACAACCACAAAACTTGGAAGCATTATTATCATGTTGTCTTATCATGTTTGCTACGTATTTTCAAAGATCCATTGTCTCAGTATTTTTGTTTCTATGTTGAGGTTTGAAACCTAGTCTTAAATGTTTAACGAAGTATATTTTGGTTTTCTTTCCGAGAACAGAAATATTTCGCATATTAATTCATTATTAATGGTGTCAAATGGAAAGAATAATTTCCGTAATTGTTAACCGAATAATTTATTTTTGTGTTTACTGCATCTTTAAACGGACTTGTATTTCATGAAATAATGTTTGAGTAAATTAACTGTGTATAAAAATGTGTGTATAAAATATACTGTGTATAAAATATACACGTCTGGTTGCCTGTCACATTTAAAAGTGTAGCATTAATTACACTTTTACATTTCATTATTAGCTAAATTACGGCAGAGTACCGATTTTAAATGCGTATGTCTTCATCACATAAAAAGTATTTCGTTTCTGGAAACTGCATCGTAAAATTTCTATTTAAAAGTCTTAATTATTAATTTCCTATGACTGCAGATGTTTCTGCTCTAGTTGTTTTGCTGCCCACCAGCGGCTAAGCGGTAAACTCGCTGGACACTGGTAGTTCGGTCCGAGGTTCAAGCCCGTGAATGGGCTGTCTGCATGGGCGTTTTCGTGATTTTCCCCATGTGTAATATGTATACGAGCTAGTTTCCACTAGAACGTCTTCGATGAAGGGATTTTTCTCCCTAGGCTGATAGCCTTCGACAACTTTTAATATTTAAATACACTAAACCAAACCTAGCTGTTTTGCAGAATTCTGTCAAGTTTCAGGTTTTATCACCCATAAAGCTCCGAAAAATATCTGTTTAACTATTCAAGTTGTTTGTTAAAATTTTTATAAGTGCTTAATAATGACAACATTATGCTATTCCCATTTACTATTGAGAGAGGCTAATTTTAAGCCTGAACATTAAAAATTGGATTTAAATAGTAAAATCATTGGGTAAAAATCTGAAAACTATAATTTAATGTTTTCGTTGTTTACCTTAGAAGTAATCTTTATTTTTGAAGAATTAAAAAAAGTAATTAGAAAATGAAAATGTATCAAAGTTTTCTTCGCTTCTTGCGTGATCTTGTAAAACGAAACTTAAATATGATATATGACAATGAATAGATTTAATCTCTATGAATTCGGCTCCAAATTATATGCGTTTTAAGCATAAATACAGGCAACCACCAGATAACACCTCTAAAAACAGTTTGACAGTGGTTCACGAAAGAAGCAATGTTGTTGTTTGCCTTGCTAAACTATCTTTCTCAATTTACGTCTTCGCTCGCCATGCATTACTCACATCAATTCATTCTGCTACGTAAATCCTTTCTCCATTTAAGCCATTTGAAACCTGAAACCTTTTTAAGGAACGCTCGTAAAAAGCAATTTTTATTTATTTATTTAAATCAAATGATGTTAGGTACACAGAATGTTGAAGTCCGACGATTTAATTTGATTCATTTACTAAATCAAATGTAATGGAACTCCAGATTTTATTAGTCAGTATGCGATTGTAGAAAAAATTAGAATTTCATCATGATAACCTCAATTTTGTTTAAAGTAAAATGTTCTGAAACGTCAAAGGACTAAATAAAAATTACTTGGTGCACACATTTATTATTACAATAAATTGGAATTGAGATTTGCATATATTTACATAGTTCTAGTTTTTATAAATTAAACGATTTACAATCATACTAGAGAGCTTTGTAGCAGCGTTTCTTGATCTTTATCTCTCGCTAGAAAATTTCGAAGAATATCCATCTATCATGAAATCGCACAGGAAATGTTAATATCATGAAATCGTACAGTAAATATTAATATCATAAAATCGCACAGTAAATGTTAGTATCATGAAATCGCACAATAAATATTATGTATGATTAGTCTACTACTACTATTTCTTAGACAGCTCTAGAAATGTTCAGCAGGACACTTGTGTTTCGACGTTTTTAGTACAACTGATATTCGGTTATCAGTTGGGATATGATCAGCAATCATAACGGCACATAAGAATCTGAAAAAAAAAGAAGTCATGCAAAAGAAAAAACAATTAACAAGCGTAAGCTTACCTGCACGTTCCTCCATTATCACACGTTGATCGACTTCCAGGTTCACATCCAGGATTGTATTGGCACTCTGGTCCATAAAAATCAGCAAAACAATGGCAGGAATACGCCGTGAAGAAGGACACTGCGTAACAGTAGCCTGTGAAGGAACAATGATGGTACAAGCATGCGTCTTTCCTTACTGTTTCGTTCCGGCTTATAATCTCGTATGTAATGTTGAATCCAAAGACATCCAGAAGGTATTCGCGTACCCTCATGTGGATGTTACCGGATTCCCTGACAAGGAAATCAAGCACCAGTACTGGTTTGTTGCTGACGAGATAAGTAGGTTCTCTATCAGAGCTGATCATGCCAAATTCTTTCTTGCCCATGTATAATGTTTCCGAAAAGAAGGCGTACTCTGTCACAGTTAGACCTTCACGCATATAGAACTGTGTAAAATATATGGCGATTACTTTATCTGCTGGAGCTTCTATAACCCATCTACAGTTAATGGGCACAGGATAAGGATCAGGAAAGTTTGGTGTGGAAATGATACCTTTCGGCTCTCGCAGCACACCACCACATTCACTGTACATAATCTCTCGTTCTTGCAATGCACTTGCAGATACCATTTTAGTATCATCAGTGCCATAAACTAGAGTCAAGGTTGAGCAGAAAACCATGCACAAAAGAAGAAGCTGAACTTTTTTATGCCGCATTCTGGATTTCTTTTTCTGCTACTGTGTTGTATCAAAAGACGTCGCACACGATTGCTATAAATGTTTTATGTTAGTCTTTCATTTCATCATAAAATTTTACAGTTATTTTTATTTCTTGAGTATACATTTCTAAAATGTACTCTTTCGTCGTAATCAGAGCTTGAATTCTTTACCTTTTTTGAGTAAGAATGCTGAATCATATCTCAGACCATTGCATTTCGCTATAAGTTTTCCCTAAAACTAGATGATAGGAACGATAAAAAATTCTGAATTTTACGGTGCTGTTTCTATTGAAGCAACTGAAAGGTTTCTGAAGTTCAAATGTGCCAAAATGCAAATTTTTCATCAATCAGTTTCAAGAGTTATTCAAAGCATTCAAATTTCAAATCAAATCCGAGATGCAAATTTATAAGAATAAAACAAGGTACGTAAAATTTTATATAATTTGAAAAAGTAAAAGACATTTTAAGTAATGATTTCGATCCATAGATTAGTGTTACAGTTTTCAATATTCGTAAAAGAAAATGCTTTTTTTATATACAGTTCTTTCGTGCCACTCGCTTATACCAATGATATGCTCCGATTTTAAGTTTTCTTTAGTAGTACTCAGGTAGTTAAAAATCGAATACATGCAAGCCAAGGTTCCAAAATCTGAAACATAATGAAAACTAATTAATTCAAGGTGAATGCAACAGTTTAGTATAATTAATACAAGAATTTCAATACGAATCTTGATATCATTTAATATAATTCACGAAATACAAATATATATATCTTACAATAAATATATAAATACATAAAATTTTAACACACTTAAGCCATTTCTTTCATGCTTTCAAACATAAAATTACCGGCGTCCGAAACAAATTAACAGTACTTTGAAAATTCAAAAATATTTTTTTATGAAAAAATATTTACAGAATTTTATTTCCTCATTTGTTCTCCTCAAAACGGGTCAACAGATATCTAGAAATATTTTAGTATTTTTACAATGCTTATTTGTAAATTTAAGTTTTACACGTAAGTTAAGTAATCAAATATAAAAATTAAATGAAAACAAACACAGATGTCTTTAAATCCAGATATATTTTATTATTGCATAATAAGGGCATAATAATGAATATTAATAGAAAAATCGAAATTTATAAATAATAACAATTAATTTTACAATAAGTACCTAATTACCTGATAAATGGTTTAGATACGAAACTATTATATTTACATCCTTCTAACTAAAACTGCATATGCAGCATTGCGACATTAAATGAAATAAAAAAGTTGTCCAGATCATAATCTATCATTTATAAAATATGTTATTTTGGAAAGATTTCTAACTTTGCTAAATCATAATCAAATATGTTTTAGATATTTTAAGACTGGTTAAAAGAGGTGTTTGCAAACATAAATATAAACTGTATCTTTGATAGCAAGATGCGCTTACATACTCCTTTATTTTGTGTAATCACAAAAGTGAGAGGAGTGTAATTGTACATTGCTTAGAACAGAGGAGAAATAAAGATTCCAACTATTTTCATATAATAAAAAATATTACTTTATACTGCTGTACATGACATCAGAAATACTTCGCTTTCATATCTCTTCATTAAAAATTCTTACACTATTTATTCCTTGATCGGCCCACCAGCGGCCGAGCGGTAAAGTCGCTGAACACTGGTAGTTCGGTCCGAGGTTCGAATCCCTCGAACGGGCTGGCTGCATGGGTGTTTTCGTGGTTTTCCCCATGTGTAACGTGTATACGAGCCAGTTTCCCTTAGAAAGTCCTCCACGAAAGGCATCCCTCCTCTTAGGCAGATAGCCCTAGTGTGCTTTGCCATAATTAAATACACCACCACACCACCACCACCACCACCACACACCACCTATTCCTTGATCAAAATAAATATTACCAGTGAACAACATTCCCTGCAGTTACATTAGGAAGCTTATGCGAAAACTGCCGAAATACAGCGAAATGGGTGAAAAACTTTGCAGAAGATAATGATGCGATAAATCTCTCTTTGTAGTCTGTTTTTGTAAAGGATTTTCTTACTGCATGAACAATTTGGAGCAAAAAATTTAGTTATATGAGGGATAATTCAAAAGTATCATTGCATTCAGATAAAAAAGGCCGCATTGAAAATATCAGAAGGTCATTATGATAGCCGCCAAAAAATTATTAAACCTAACAGTTTTCGATTTTTTATTTCACAGCCATCTGAAATCAAATCATGAAATATCTATCATGAAAATAGAGGAAAATTTCGATAAAAATATATTTTAGGTTCAAATACGCAAACAAAATTTTTTCTCTAGAAGTATTTTTTAAAACTTTTTTAACAAATTCACAGGAATCATGGGAAAATATTTTCATATCTTATTTTTCTTTCAAGAAAGTGTAAGGAAAAGAAAAGAGAATTACGATCTCATTATTCAGTCGAGCACGGACTAGAACATAGTTTTCAAATTTTATGTGTTTTACTTAAACTTCAGAGACATGTAATTCCAGCACTTCTTCAAATTCAATAGGATGCATATTGAATATCTCCAATTTGCCGACTCACGAAGTATACTGATCTGCCATGGACATCAATTCTATGCTCTGAATTAGATTACGGAAATGTTTTCATATTTTTAGGAAAGAAATTCCTTTTACTCTTAGCTAGTAAAAGATGATTACCGAGAATTTTATTGCACCCCCCCCCGAAATCTAATAATAAAAGAATTCGTTTCTATAATAAGAATAAATCTCCGGCGAATTTATGCTTGATAAGAAAAAAAAAAGATTGTGGAATGAAGTAGTTTTATATCTTATTTAATGCGGTTAGAGAAGAAAGTGGTTTATCTATCCCCTTCTTTAGCTAAGCATAAAAAGTATTACGTTTTTGGACATCATTCCGTCTTTAGTTTAAAATTTTTTCGAAATGAATTTCAATATTTCACTAATTATTTAGAGAAGGTTTTCTCAACGGGTTGGGTATGGATTCCTGGTCAGTTGATAAGATTTTAAACGGTGCCTATGAGGATCAAGAATTCGATAACCAAATGTGCATTGAAATTTAATTGATAATCAAGATCCCGTTAATTACTAAACGTGTATAATAAAATTAACGACTACTTGTTCATTGATATAAAATTTTATCATACAGATATAAATGAATCTTTAATGATTGGTTTGAAATTTTATTCATTAAAGAAGTCAAGCATTGATTACAACAGCAAAACCTGAGTTTTTATATTCACTATAATGCACCAGCTGCCCTCACAAAAATAAACCAAAAGTTAAAATTTGATTTCTTCCATCGATTACCACATCCTTAATCCAACCAATGAATCAAGGAATTATAAATAGATCCAAAGCCTATTATGTCGGGCACGTTTAGATTTCTGCTATTAAAGCATTAGACAAAGGAAAGCATGACACACTGATGGCATTTTGGATCCAATTCAACACAAGTTACTGCCTAGAAATGATTAAACTCGCATAGGAAGAAATGAATTCATCAACAATGAATGCTTGTTGACATCAGTGATGGCCAGATGTTGTCAGCAATTTTAAAGGTTTTTCATCGATTGAAAATGACACCAAGAAAATCATAAAAATTAAAAATTAATCTGAAAGAGAATTTTCAGGTATGGAAGAAGAAGAAATCAAAGAATTAGTTGGATCTGGCAATTGTGAAATGACAAATGAATAATTTTATAGTCTTATAATACTAGCCTACAAAAAGCAGCGACAGTGAAAAACGATAAAGAGTAAGTCTTTAACGTACAAAACTTTAAACTAATTGTTAGAAACGGCACAGGAAATATGCATTTGTGTATTGGAGATTTTTCTCAATGAAGAAAGAGAACATTTTATGAGAGGTATTGAAAATCTTTGTACTTCTTCTCGGAGAACATTTAATGAGTAAAATCATTACTTACTTAATAATTGTATCATCGTAGTTACTAATTAACCAGTATTAAAAAGCTTTTTAGTTACCATTTTTCATTTTCTCCTTTTATTACAATTAAATTTAGGTTTACATAAATTACACATACTTCCTTAATCTAAATTATAGCAAACCAGTTTTGTTTTTCATAAATAGTTAACTTTGAGGAACTGACAATATATTGTTATGAATTTCGTACATAGATAGGTAATTTTAGCAAAATTATAAATAACATCGTTGTATTTCTTTTGTATAATGTAATTATGAAAAGTCAAGAGAGAAGAGGTATGCCGGAAAAGTGAGAATACAGGGGCAGATCCATTTAACATTGAGTAAATGGGTATCTCGGTAATAGGGAGATATCGCCAAGATGGCAACGGATTTAGCAACTAATTTTTGTCTCTAAATTTGGTGAGAAATCGCCAAAAGTTGCCAAACTTGGTGACCATTTGGCGGCATTTTGATCTTGTTCCTGTGTCACCGTAATAGGTCCTGTAATTGAATAAATGTAATTACTACTATACTCGCTCTAACCGTAATTCGACCCTCATATTGCCTTCCAGTAATTTGGAGAAGCATAAAGTACTAGAAAAATCTTAGCGGCCGGGTACCTGAATGAGTATTTCTGTGGCAAATTCTAGAACTCTGAAATGTTTCTTTTGATAAAATAAATTTTATCGACCTATCAACAGAGCTGTGTGCATTCAATCTGATGCGTACCAGTACGCACACAACAGAATTTATAGGAAAACTCTATGGGCTTCGAAGAAAAAGCTAAAGGGCCATCTTCTTCGAGAAATGAATATATTCTAGACTGTGGACTTGAAAGTTTTCATTTAAATAGGCGGTATAATTAAATCCGCCAAGAAAAATTTAAATTAAGAGAAACTTTTCGTATAAACTCGTCGTTAATTTAAAGTTTATTTCTGCATTGTTTTAATCTTTGTACTGGATTTGCGAAATTCGAATGGATGATTTAAATACTAGAGTTCCATGAATTTTAAGACTCAGAGTTATCTTTTACTCCAAAGTATTTATTCACTTGTTCGGCTGGCAGTTCTTTTACAGAAAACGAACTTTATTTATTCACATTTTTGCCTCTTACTTAGTTCGTTTTTATCATACATAAAAGAGGTAAAAATGTTGAATTATGGCATTACATTTCCGAAAGTTTTAAATGCTTCGTGTTTTGTCAACAGAATTTTGAACTCAGGAAATACTATTTCGACACTTCAGAAACGCTAGTCAGAATCTTAGAAGTATTAGTAGCACTTCAAGTTTGAAGATAGATCGTAATCTTCTTACGCTGCAGTTTAAGGACGGAAGAAATGAGAGAATATGTAACTTGCTTTTTTTTTACTTGATGGATTAAGGTCTGCAAAGTCTTATCAGCAAAGAGCTTGGTTAGCTCGCCAACCTTTTATATTTATTTATTTATTTATTTATTTTTTTTTTGCAAGCGACAGAAAAAAGACGCTTAGAAGATATATTTTTTTATTTACTTAAAGATGGCATTTTAAAGACGCTGATTTATAAACGATGCAATATTATTAAATCTGAAATACTTTCGACTTCGAAAATACCGAGAGAAATCCAACGTGGATACCAGCCAAATAGACATATCGATATACACTTTATACCGCAATTTTGAACAAATAATACTTATTAGAAGTTAATTTCTTATGTACATTCTATTCACTAAAGATACAATCACCTCTA